GAGCTATGAATACATTGATTTAACAATGATGGGGTAGTTTTTTTTTTTTGACATGTATGTACGAATAAATTCTTTGAAAATTTGATCTTCAAATAGAATATAGTTTCTGATAGAAAATTGAATCTTATTAACACTTTTGATAAGGAAAAATTAAAATTCACAGAACTTTTCAAAATATTTATGTAGAATTTTTGATTAAATTTTTTTCAATTTTTAAGATGAAATTCGATATTATATTAACGAAAAATAACGATATAAGTTTTTTTTTGTTGTTACTTGTAAATATTTTTCTTAGTGATTTGAAAATCATATTATTACGTTTATAAAATAGATATATTTTATGAAAATAATATTTAAAAAAAATTTAGATTAATTTTATGCAATTGCCTTTGTTTTATAGTTTATACTATATTACTAAAATACAATAAATAAAAAAAAACCCATAATAATTATTAATAATTTATATATTTTTATAATAATAAGTTGAAAAATCGTATCTGTTCTGAATTATTTAACGTTTGTTTTTTATTTTTTATTGCGTTTAAATTTAACACATCTATTACAGTGACCTTCTCAATGACGAGTTACGCTCAACTTCTAGCGTAATAGCAGAGTGGTTACCCAATATAACTCTTTTTTTATATATATATATATTAGTATAAATCACCAAGTTGTATCGGCGAATCGATTTTATTGTTATAGTTTGGATGAGTTTGTGTGTGTATACAGGATGTCTAGGTGTTTCGAATTTCATGTGATGAAAATCGTGTGAAATACATTAATTCGAATTACGACTATTTCATTTAAAAATAGAAACACCCAGTATTTACGAAAATATTACATATTATGTCAACATAATATATTATTACATTACTATACTTTTGCTGTACCCACATGACCCGTGTAATATTCTGCGGAAACTTTTCAACAAAATGTTGACAACGCAAACTCGTTGTCAAAATGTATGGCAGGTTTTTGTTAGAAAAAAAAAATAATAATAACTATTTGTTAAAAACTTATTTCAAAGTGTATTTTATATTCAATGTATTGTTAGCTAATTTTTGTCTATATGAGTAGTTTTGGGTTTTCCAATGCTTATTCCTTTTTACAAACGCTATGAGTAAAACATGGTTGATTTTTCTTTTTGATTGGTCATCTTTTGAATGTGCTACCGTTTCACGACGGTTTATTTATGTCACCATAATATTATATTGTGTACGATGAAAACACACATAATATAAATATAGTATTCTGTATTAAATATAATAAAGCACTGCCTCATATGGGCGTACAGACTACAGAGTAAACCTTGACCGTTAGTAATTTATTTCAGAAAAATAATATACAATAACTCACTAAACGAAATCCCTTGTAAGTTATAAATATCATTTATTGAGTTGTCCGTATATCATATGCCAGCGAAACATATATAATAGGTATATAACATATAAATACATAATATATTTACAAACTTATTGAATTGTATTACTAACCACCCGAGTTTTCTGTTATAACTATTTATTATGGATATATAAGTATCTATTATTAGATACAAATATTAAATGATATGATACATTGTTAATCATTGTAGTTTGGTGTTTCTAAGAAATGAAATATGTGTATACTTTCGTCACATTGGTTAATATCGTTAGGTATTTATTTCTGGTCAAATAATTGATTATTTATAAATTCTATTAATGTAGGTAAGTAAAATAATAAGCAATAGTATTAAATACTATAAAACTCTAACTTAATCTTTTTAAAAAGTGTTTTATTGTATTGATTGATGTATATAAATATAGTATACAACGAAAAAGTACATGAAAAACAAATTGATTTCTTTCAAAAGAAAAAGTTCATTGTAATATAGCTTTCCCTATTTCTCCCAAACAAAAAATATAACAATATCATATATGTACTTCAATTAAAACATTAAATTTGTTAGTTTAATATATGTATTATAAATAATCCATGAAAATAAGAAATACAATTGTGATTAATTATATTTTTATGTATAAGGGTATAATAATATGCTCTAGTGTATAATAATGCATGATAAACATTATATAATAATTTTATATTTTTGGGGTTAAATCCTTAAACTCCATAAACAAAGTTTTAACATAAAATGTTGTGTTGTATTACTGTAATATAATACTTTGTTCGTTTCTACAAACAGTTCGGGCTGATCTAGGAATTATGATGGTAAGATTCTTTTTTTTAAATACCTACATATTACTGAATAGTTTTTTAGAACATTTTTATATCATCTATGTTTTAATTGTCATTCAAAGTCCAAATTCAATTTTTTATGTTTTTAATGTAATGTTTTTACGGTTTATTATTGAATAATATTAAATAGCATTTGTGTATTTTTTGTTATAATGATACATAAACAGCTCTAATTTTATTTGTTTAACTTTAATCAGTTAATATGCAGAAAATAAGTGTTTACAACTTACTGAATGTTGTCAAGAATAATAAGAATATGGACTAAGCTATTTTTTTTTCAAAGTACAAAATATCATGTCTGATGGTAAGTTAAACAAACTTCCAAATGTTGTTATTAGTAATTACACATCTATTGTTTATAAATAATAAATAGTTATTTTTTATTAAACGCTAGATTTATGTATTTAGTCACGAATATTTTTGCTTTTTTCATACGATTGAAATTTGACTAACCTGTCTTAATATCACCTCCCTAATTTTTAATATTATACATAAATCTGTTGTATACAGAAGTAATTATTTTATCAAACAACACTTATTATTCCAAAATTCATATTCTATTTACACTTTTCAAAATATTTTTCTTAGATAATTTTCAGTTCTTAATATTTTTGTACTTAACATTTTTTAAGGTTTTTATTTTATATATAGACAACATATATTTTTAATTCTATATTCCGAAAAAGAATATTTTTTAGAGTATTTCAATTTATAAAAAAATCGAAATTCAGACTAGCAGTTTTTGAAATGAATATTAAAACATTTTTAAAAACATTTATGACATAATGAGTGTCATTTAATCAAATAATTGACTGGTATATATAATATATACATAAAAGAATATTGTATATACGAAAATATTCTACAGTATTTATACAGTGCAATCACATCTACTTATCACTTATCAACATTTTTTGTAATACTGTGTGCAGAGACAAAACGGACACAATCAATTGCAACTCGGTGGTTGTCGCCAGATCTCTGGCACCAAAATTATATAGTACACGTTCACATACATAACGATATAAATATATATACATAGAAAACATAGTGCTATAACAATGTGCTTTACTGCACAGTAATATACAGCACAGCTTAACCTAAATTAAATAGTTTTTGTCCTTCCAACGAACAGTTTTAAACAAAATGTATGTGTACGAATGTACTATATAATGATAATATCTCCGTTGACGTATTATTTTTATCAACGACAATGTACTTGTGAACTCGAAAATACATAATGCAGTTGCGTCGACCTTGGAGCGGTCATGTCGTATAGATTTTCCGAAGCGTCCTTTGTACGGCATCGGCATCGTCACACACACACACACACACACACACACACACAGTCATATAACGATGACGGTACCAGGAATTCGATTGTAATTTTATATATTTTAAAGTAAATAATAACATAAAAATTGGCAAGAATTTTTTTTTTTAAACACAATATTATCAGGATCGTAAATATCTAGACAGTGCACACGTTATTTATGTGGCAACAAAATCTGAACACAATAACACGTGTTTAATGATTTAATAATAATTGCACGTTCTAAATTTTGTATAAAACTATGCATACTTCAGAACGGATGTTATACAAGCAATGCCGGACGAGGGATTTTATGTCAGAATAGTGTCGTTCAGAATTAAAGATGAAAATTTAAGCTGTACGCATTGAGAAATCGTGTCTTTTGTTTTGCAAAGGTTTCATTCGTTCTTTATTAATAATCTAAGCATCTAGTTAGAATATTAAAAGACATAATTTTAAGTTCACAAAATCAGGTGTAAATTATTATATTAAACCGTTGTGAAATAATATAATCAATATAATCAGTAGCTATTACATCATATCTACGTTCCGAAGTAAGCAGTAATCTTGGACTACTATATTAAACTTTAAAGCACATTCTATTAGACGGATCGTTTTGTATATTAATGTTACAATGATGCACACTATAACTAAATGGTGAAATGACATTATCGGTATGAAATTAAAACATATTTAAAACATTTTTCAAGAAAAAACAAAAGTATAAAATATATACATATATCGTATATATCCTTTTTTTATTATTCATATGATATTAATAATCAACTGTTTGGGGTTTAAATTTTGGATTAAGTAGCAAATATATAACGAAGTTCATCTTATCGAGTGAACTCCAATAAAACAATATTAAAAAGCAATTATTGATGAGCACAATGTTTGGTCAATTATAATTTCCCTTCAATATTCACAAGTAAAACAAAGGATCAAACGTAATTTGGGACAACTGAGAATACATAAAAATATAACGTACGTAGTGCTACCCCAATAATAATAATAATAATAATAATAATAATAATAATAATAATAATAATAATAAAAATAATAATAATAATAATAATAAAACAAGTGTTATACACTATAACATAAAATAATAATTTTACGTGCTAATGAAAATCTGCTAAAAAATTGCACATAATTTAATATATAATATATGTCATTTATACAAAAAATATTTTTCTAAAAACAAAATAATTCATTTTTTGTTTAAATATAATAATTTTTAAAATTGAACTAATTTAACTAGAAAATATATATTTAAAGTTAACAACAAAATTAAATCAAATTTATAAAATATACTATGTACAAATCGATATTATATAATTAATTAAATTAATGAATTTAGGTACAAACAAATAAATTGTATTATAAATTTATTTTATTAATACTCTAGGAAAACAATCCTTATAATATTATTGTTTGTTTATTGATTTATAAATATATAACATAGACAAAATATAACGTCTGTAAGCATGTACATGTGACAGGCACAAATATACAAGCGATTAAAAAAAAATATATATATATTATATATAATTATAATTTTGGCACTTACAACGAGTAATAATGAGATTAAAAGTTAATTATTTTTGATTTATTATGATACACTTATGCGCATCAAAAACATCACTTTTATCCGATAATTGGTGTTTATTTTCATCAGTCATTTTTTTCCTACAGAATATAATAATACGTTTATCGTTTATAGATAGGTATAAATGAAATTTACATTTTATATTATTTCATAATTTCTACTAGACGTGACTCAAAATTCTGTATTTAAAAATATTGACCGAACGCCGAAAAATTTTATCTTATATCATTGCGAGTATCTCGTCTAGGTGTTTAAATCAATGCTCGCATCATATACATGTAGTGTTATAGTTAAATATGAATACTCGCCGAAGCGCATTTAGTAATATCACGGACTAGCTGTCGACATTGAACTAAAACTCTTAAACATATTGTATTTTGCACCTGAAAAAAAAAATTTACATAAAATAACAGTTTTTATTCGTAATTGCTATTATACTAACGTTGCATCTGCATGCAAAAAATATGCTAGTCAGTGAAGTGAAACGTATGTTCACTCAAGGACGCAGTATAGTATTATGGACGCGATAACTGTGTGCGAACGCAGTACACAATATACAAAAAAAAAAATGTATTAAAGGATATTAGAAAATTGACATCTCTGGGTAAAAAATACCATTAGTTTAGGACGTTGTCGGAATAGTAGATGGCGTTAGTGGGTTACAATTACGACTTAAGTTCGATGTACCATTTAAATAATATTACATTAAATAGATACATAGATAATATTTCAATACTCACCATTGGTCGTTATGTACAGTTTACCCCATTAGTGAGTTCTTAATTATTTGGTCTTCAGTTGTTGACTCTGAAATTAAATAACATAAATTATTTTCATATTTTCTGATACAAAGTTATGACTTATGAATATTAATTGTTACAGTAAGAGTAAAATTAAAACGTTCTTGATAAATACAATTAAATACCTCTTAGATATGATAACGGTATGCAAATATTCTCTATAATTGGTATTTTAGGCTTGTTTTGTAACAAGATTATATTATTTGAAATACTATAATCGACGATAGGTACATGTAATTTCATAAATATTTTACTAGCTGTCATTAGAAAAATAGAAACCAACGCACACGTGCACCTATATTGCCTATACGATACGCCTGATGAAAATACGTAGTGAAATACTTTATACAAAGACCACCCAGTTACAAATAGTTCCAAGGACAGGATATTTTAATTCATATAATACAATTTATAAAGATACAATAATGAAAATTAAAAAACGGCTACAGTGTAAATAAGTATAAATAATTAACAACTCACGATTTGGGTTGCTTGCAGTCCGAGTAATTTCTGCAATTTTTGTAGTTGCTGGACTAGAGATCCATTGCTCTCTTCGAGGTTGACAATTTTCTTTTTGTATTCGCTATTTTCGGTGACGAGAATCTCCACCTTTCTTTCCAAAGTATCCATGTACTCTTTTTTCTTGCGTCGACTCTCTTGCGCCGATATCTGAACAAATAAAATTATAGTAGTAAAAAAAGTGATTGTTGGAATAAATCAGTCGCAATAACAGTTACACATTAATAATGACACATGGCAATAAAATATTCTAGTAAAATATATTCCAGTTTAACAGTGTAAATTATGAACTACCTTGTTTTTAATTTTTCTTCGGATTTTTTTTAACGACTTCTCTTCGGCCTTGGTCAATGGCAATCTAGTGGGTATTGGATAGCCTTCGGCTAGCAGGGTGCGTTTCTCTTCTTCGGTGAGCGTCAGTGCGCCAGTAGATCCTTTTGGCTGACAACTGATCAAAGGTGTCTGTATGGGCTGTCGGCTGCTGGTGATGGTGGTGGAGGCGGTGGCTGACGATGTGGATGACGACAGGAACAACCGCCGAGTGGGCGATGACCGGTGGTGCGGTGATACGTTACCGCCCTCACTGTCACTTGACGTAGACGAAGGTGGCGTAGGTGGCAGTGAAAAACCTACAGAGGAGCAACATTCGATAACACCAAGTAAATACGTGTAATATAGTGTATGGGTGGTAATCATTCCGTATAAGATATAAAATATTATGTCACTGCTTTTGTGTGTACAGTATGTATTCAGTGTGTTCAGATTACAAGGGGGTTGTGGAAACTTATGGTCATCGTCTCCATGGGAGTATGTTTTTTTTCTCGCATTTTATTACTTGTTACGCATTACCATTATACCAAGGTAATCATTCAAGTGCAGAGTGTAGTATGATAATACGTAGTAATACAAATATCGTATTGTATATTGTAAAGTTGTGTATGTAAATATTAAATATTTTGCGTAATGTGTATAAACATGATATATATCATTTGTCATATTACCTGTGCCATCCATTTTCAGACCGAAATTCGGAACGATTAATCTATGCGGTTGGTTAAGGAAAGCTCTGGAGGTCAATACAACCGTGGTCGGTTCATTATAACTGGTTTTCTGTACCTGTAACATTTTGAAATATATTTTATTATATAAGATATAGGTATAGTGGTTTTATTTTTACAAATTGTGTTCATTCACCATTAAATTATTAAACAACTGTAGTGTGGATTAAATGGGAAAAAAAACGAAGATTGATTGTAATGTTGTTATCGAAAGTAGTATATTGTATACCATTCTATTATACGAATAAATAATAATAAACGTGAAAGAATTATATAAGTTCAAGAAGATGAATTATAATATATTATGCACAGTGTAAACGTGTATGCAAAATTATTTTAAATTTTGAGTGTATCGCTCGATCAATGTGTTGGTATATTTATGATTATCTTCACCTTATAGAGCAAAAAATATGTTTCAATTTTAAACTTCAAAAGTGGTTACTGGTAAAAAATCGAATTTAGTTGATACTTTTAGAAGGTCAAAAGTCAAAAATGCCCTTTCTTTGCTTAATAATATAAAGAAATTGTTAAAAAAAAATTACAAAAAACGGGAATATTTACATTAAACCAAAATGTTCGACAAAATTGATTTTGCGATTTTAAAACAAATAACCGTAGATTTTTAAAATGTTAATGAATTATTTATTTCAGCATTTTATAAATATAGTGTAATTTTAACAGTAATAGTAATTAAATATGGTTTTATTTGATGTATATGATTTTATCATAAAGTTATCAGTATTCTAGGCAAACTAGATATTATGGATAATAAGTTCTCTACAGACTATAGTCTATAGTTCAAAACTTTAAATGATATAAACTAGTTAGTAATTTCATATTACAAGTATTTTTGACTGTATTATGTTTTTAACAATGAAATAAATCATTTTCAACTAATTTTACTTCTATAACTTGAAAATTAATTTGTATTCAAAATACAACAATAAATAACAAGATGAGTATATTTTAATCTAAGAATAAAAATAAAAATAATTAAATTTGTTATTTTAAAAGTATAATCTAAGAAGATCAATTTTGTAAATTTAATTTAGAGAAAATTGTTATTGAGTAGTAAATAGTTAAATATGCGTCATGTCAAATTAAGTTCTCATCAACATAGTATATATAATACAGAATTGACATAATGTTTATTAACGTTTAAAGACTTTTGTTTGTTATTAAAATATGACATTATTCAGATGTCTAATGGAAGTACTAAATATTTAACAAGAAAAATATTTTTGATTTACGATTTACTAAAATTAACAAACATTAAATCAACTAGAGTGAACAAAATAACAATATTACATACATACATTAGGTTGATTATAACTGTCATGTATAATTAAAATCTATAATTTAAATTAATTGGCTACTCAATTATTATTATGTTTTTATTTAATGATTATTTATCAAGATAGTACGATCTATAGAAATGAATGATTAGTATATTATATTAAATTTCAAGAAATTGAATAAACACATTAAACCCAAACACTAATTGATTTAATTAATCATTTAGGTTTCAATTTTAACTGTCCTTATTTTTCATAACAATTATATTTAAATAATAATCTTATACATTTTAAAAGTTATTATTATTACATTATTTTATCGACTGTTAGAGTAAAACTATATGCCATTATTAGGCAATTCAAAATGTAGTTATTTACCCTGGCATGAATTAAAAACATTTTATATTGTACACAATTTTTAATGTTATCTATGATATATATATATCTATGATTTTTTTTTTTTATTTACATTTTTAAAATAATTATTTACGTTTATTATACTTGCTTGTGTCGTTTTTATATTAGCGAGTTCCAAATAATGTTAAATATTGATGATGTTTATGCATATTAAATAGTTGAAAATAAAAATGAAAAATCTAAAAAAACTAAATAGTTGCTATTAAAATTTTTATATACGTTGAAATGTGAAAATCGTTTATGAATATTAGCCAAAAATAGCTGAAGAAATTAATTATTTTAGTATCATATTTAATTATTAATTATAATACTATATACCTAAGTTAACTTATAACTAATAGATTTTACGAAATATATTAAGCAAGACATTATAGTTTTTCTACGGTTAAATTATGATCCATCGATCAGGAAACACGACGTCATCGTTATATTATATTACTTATTGTAGCTACAATAATGGGAGCTGGTTACATGTAAATGAAAATTAATAAAGGTAGATAAATATATATATAGGCATACTTTTATATTTATATTTAGGTGTATAAAAAAACAGTAAATATATCTATCATATTCTCTCTTTTTAATGATTTTTTCTTGGAACTATTATTTGTAATAATTGTATACACTATAAAGCATTTCGATTTCAGTTTCTCTTTAAAAGTGTTCCAGGTATATAAATGTTTTAAATTTCTTCTTTTTAAAATTCATAGGACTAACATTGACAGTAATACAAACATATTAAGCTTGTAAATTATCAACAAACAATAATGCTTAAGATAATGAAATAATCATTGTTAATTTGGCATACTATACGTAGTATTTATTATTAAAATAAATAAAGATAATAATTTGATTTAGCAGCTAATCTAAACAAAAAATATTTTTAAATAAATAACCTTGAATATATTTCTATATTTATATACCTATTGTTTTTTTTAATTTTAAAAAATCTTCAAGCGTTTAATATTTCGCACATTATATTATGCTATTATTGTTGATTTTCACTTTTATAAACGAATAAACAAGATAAATACTGTCTAGTGTCTAAAATGTTATAGACTTTATTATCTAGTCTCTTTCTAATACATGCTGATTTATTACTTATGTAATTTACATAACATTTTTATTATTACATTTAATATTAAAAATTCTGTATGTAATACCTATACAAAATAGTTAATATGTATATTTATAAAATACAAAATGTTCAATTATTTAAAAATGCTAATTTGAATTATATTTTTTTGATTTGTAACTTTAAAAATAAATAATTTTATTCTTTGAAATGTTTGTTTGAATCATTAAAAGTTGTAAGAGCCGTAATAAATAATGGTTTATTTTCGAAATACATTAGCAGATCTAGTCAAAAAATCAATTTAAAGCTGTCACAATAAATTGTATAGTGTATCTGATAGTTATTATATACTTTTCCATAATGTCTGGGCGTATCGTCTGACGCAGAACATGGTGATGGTGGGCAAGAAGAAGTCTCAACATATTCTTGGTCACTCATCGGTTCATCTTTTACTGAAGCCGTGTCCTCTTTGATACTGATCATTTCGATATTACCGGTACGATCACATCTTACTTCATCAAACGTTAGCTTACAAGTTCCATCCTGACTGCTATCTTCGTCTAAATCTAAAAATGATTTATAATCATATAAAAATTGTGTTACTTTGTGCTTTACATATTACATAGTTAAAAAAAAAAAAACATAATAGTTCATTATGAATCAATCTACTTGATTTTAACTTAAAAAAGAAGTCGGTACCCTTTCATATTTATATATATGTAGAAGAAATTATTATTATTATTCATTGATTTTGACACTCCTTTAATAAAAAAAGAGTATTTTATATTAGATATATAAATTATAAATATTTTAGTACTAAATTTTAATTCAAGTTTAAGGTCAAAAAGAGATTGAGTTTTAACTTTTAAGAGAGGGATACAATTTATTCATTAATTAAGTATTTTTTGTAAAGAAAGAACATGATTGAAAATAAAATAATTATTAAAAACATAAAAAATATCAACGTTCAATGACCATCAACGAATGATAAACATATTATATTATTAGAACATATCGTAAAAATCTTATTTATTTTATCACACGTATCATTATATTATATGTTTACAACTGGTATGTAATAACAAGTAGAAATAATGAAATAAATCGGGTTTTGTTAACTACAATTTAGAATTTTTTATTTTTCTGTCGCTGCTGTTGTGTCTTATTTGTTAAATAATCACCATGTAACTACATGTATAATATTATAAGTTTATATTTATATTCGTGATGGTTTTCATAAAACGTATACAATTTCTATATAAAAAAAAAAAATCGTCAATCTCATGAATTTTCAATATATTAATTACATCTTTTTTTCCATGTCATTTCTGAAATCTGTGAGCAAAATCAAATGTATAGTAGGGTTACATTACATTCAACCAAACCGGAAAATCTGGTTGTATGCATATTACATATATATTTTATTAAATTAAGTTATTATAAAATACCTATATGTATATCATAATATCATAATACCTATACGAATCACATTTGACAAATATTTGCTCTACAGGAATTAATGAAAGATTGACATTTTCTCCGAGTACCCACGAGATTATACAATATGTGTATATAGAGTATGTATAAGTATAGTGACACGCTATAATTTCCTGACATATTCTCAAGACCGAGAAATTATCAGTGAAACGATAATTTTTTTATGTTGCCCACGTTTTAAACTTGAAATTTCGTGTTTTTAATTTAACTTATAGATAAGTCGCAAATCGTATAGACGAAAATGTTTTATGAGCAAAAACATTAGACGAGAATAGGTAAACATTTTGCGATGACACTTAAATGTCAGTGAAATAAAATACCGTTTTGGCCGGCAGGTGCAGGGCACTGCTTGTCCGTAAAAATGAACTAATTTTCGAAGGGATATTTCCCGATGTGCGGGGGGAACGTTTCCGAAATATTCCGGAAACGTTCTTTGAGGAATATTCCTATAGTGGCACATCACCGTGTAGCTATACATAATTATTTATGTGCGTGTAAGACAAATGACCATTTTCTTTTAGTGGAACGCGTAACGGGTTTTGTCTTGCATGACTCACAGCCGTTCCCCCTCTTCGCCAAAAGCGGTTCACGGTTCTTCTAGCACTGTACGACGAGTGCATGCATTACATTATTATTATTATTATCATTATTATATTGTTCCACGGTACAGAGTATTGCAGGAATGCGGCGAAGAATGCGCCGTTTACACCGATATAATACACACACACACACACATATATATATATATATATATATATATATTACATGTATTCTATGTATTATATATATGGCGAATTACGAAACTCGGCGACGACGAATGATGCGCGTCGACGTGACTCACCTATAGCGTCCAGCGATTCGCTAGACCCGTGCGTGGTACAATACGAGTGTTCGGCCTTGATAGGGGCATTGCCCAACAGCGCGTCGGTCATCAGACGGTCGTGCAGTACCACGTGAGAATTCGACCGGCCGTTTCCGCCGATCAGCCAATCGGACGCGTCTTCTGTGGCCCTCAGCGCATCTCCAAGATCCTGCGAACACACAAACGCAGACGTTAAAAAACGGTGGTCGCACACACGACGTAATCCCGTGCAAGTGATACCTATTGTTATTAACTAATAACAGCATGTCATTCGCGTTTTATCTACGGTTAGGTCACAATATAGAAATAGAACAAAACAAAGTGAGTGAGGGTTGGTAACGGGTATACCTATATAATAATGTGTATATAATATATATATATTGTATATGATGTATATAGTTGATGTGACGTTTTCTACTGCGTTAGGTTTTTTTTTTACTTATTTTTAATTTCTCGTTTAAGGTCAGTCGTATAATATGATATATCGATATGCATACTATAAAATATACGTTCGATATGTTATTATTATTTATCACCCGAGAGAGTGGAGAAATTTTCGCTATAGACCGTGCGCTAACCAGTGCTGCGATCACCGTAGGTATACTCGATTAATAAACATTATTGGAAAACTTTTAATAATTTTTCACTATATATTTAATTTGATAACCGATGCATATAATATGACGTGACGATCACTCGAATTTATAACGTCAATATGAAAACACTTACATGCATTTTTTTTCGATATAATATAATAATTGTTCGTTTACATTATTATTATTGACTTCGTTTAACGTTTAATAAATAATAACCAATAGTACACCTTACAGAAAGTCGTACGTGATGTTTGAACGTGGAAATGTCATAACTTTAGTACATATATATTTTGACGCAAACAGATCAGATAGTCAACCGCGTAGAAAAAATAACATCATATATTTTGTCAATGAAAAGTAAACAACGAATTTTAAAGTCAATATATTAAATATATATGCGATGGTGTGGATAGTTTTAAAAATCCAAATGATAACTTTACTGTTATGTTTTGAAAATATCATTGCGTCTTATTTACAAATTGGCCATGTGCGTATTTTGAAAACAATATGATAATATTTTACAGCCAGGAAATTAAAATCAACATTTCAAAGAACAATGAAATAATATAATATTTTAGTGATAGTTTGAATTACTTTGGTATACGATAGTAGTAAAATGTACAATCATTCGGAAGTGTATCCCATAAATTCATAACCATTACTGTAGAACATCAAATAATAATTGTTTTTAAATATAATATACATATATACACATATTATATTATGTTGCTATGCTATTATGTATATATATATGCCGCTTGGCCTCTTTAATTACCGTCTACAATTATTAAATATTTAAACCATCATATAGAATTATAGAATATATATTTCTGATAATATTACTCTCTTATCATATTATGAGGACAAGTATATCATTATGTGATAATAAAATATAAATACAAATCTGACTGGTCAAATTATTTTCAATAACCAACAAATTAAATATTATTACTCGTAGGTAATTGAAATTTCGTTTAGACGATTTACAATTACAATATTACTACAAAGTATTAAACATATTAATATCTATTATGTAATATATGTTTAATAATATACATATTATATACGCTCAACAGTTACCCATTTTTTTTTTCATAGCGAATGGTCTAAATGACCCCGCAGAGTATGAAGTTATGAATTTTCAAATTTAATGCTATTCGATTTTTATTTAGCTTGTTCCCAGTTGGAATTATGTGTATAAAATATTTTGCTTACCCGAACAAAACGAAAAACTAGTTTTTTGAATTCATTATTTACTCTTATACAATATTATATCTCACCAGTTTTCATCAACTAAATAAAATATAAGCTTATGTATGTATTATACTTAATACTAAACTATAATCTATACAATGCTACAACAAATGTATAATTCCTATAATAATAATTATTGTTTTTTTAATATACCCATTGAAATATATTAAAACTGTTTTTTAGCGATGTCCTCGATATTTTATGAGTATGTTTTGAATAGTGTTGTATAAAAAATAAATATTTAATGTGATAATATTTAGTATGGAGTATAATCTATACAGAGCTTTACATTAATTGGCATCCAACTGAGTTTGGAATTCTTCCATGTCCATGTCGATGAATATCAAACGAATACATATTTTTTACTACTCAAAACTTCTTTACCTTCGTGGGTTTTATTGGTTTTACTGTATTTAATGTGTATGCATCCTCATTACGCTCGCACTATGTACATAATATACATAACTTTCGTGTATTTTCTTTCTTTTTAATAGTCTTATAAAGACTGCAATGATCTGAAAAAACGCCTGTACACCAAATTCATCATACATATATATATATATATTATATTCTTGTATATATAAGGTGGAGTTAAATCGAAATTTTACATATTACATCATATACAAGGAGCCGCCTATAAAAAACAAATTCTGAGCTCGAATACTCGAATAATAAGCTACACATATTATATTCTTTGAAAAATCCATTTAACACTAATTTATGATTTATTAGTTACACACAACTGTAAGAATATTACATAATATAAGTAATCAACATAATTAATCATCAACACTCTACGGGAACATATTATTGGCGTAGATTACTGTTATTTATATGGGCATATAATATAATGTATGTGTATATATACAATATACATCTAAAGAACGATTACTTTCGGGATACACGATTTCGGTTCATAACGATGTTTGCAACGACGGCGGCGGCAGCGACGGTGAGAAATGTGGTATGAATATTTAAAAAAATATATAGTAATAAATTTGTTCGGATAAAATGCATCAGTCTGCAGCCGTCTGGCCTTTCTCCACTCTCTTCTCGCGGTACACCTACACTATGGTCGCGGCGTTTGATCGTGCGTTCACACAGATACATACAATGCATATTATTGCATTATTGTTGTTAAATATGGGTATAATGTGGTGTGTGTGTGTGTATATATACTTTCACCGTATACACCACCAGTATAACCACCACTGTACCTATATTATATTGAATATATTGCATGTATATATAATAATAATATACATATATACACCGAGATAAATATGTATCAACGCACGCCCACTATTGTTGATTAAACATTTTTTTATATTTTACATATTATATTATACATATATATATTTTTTAAGTACATTAGATTCAAGTTTATGTATTATAATATGATATTAGCCATGTAGTATATTATGTACAACGTATATGACTTTAAGCCACGCCTTTGCCAAATATTCACTCACTCGATTAACCGGTTCTTTGCCTTTCTCCGGGCCGGCCGGCACAAATCGTTTGCTATAACTACCGCGTTGTCGGCGGCGTGGAGTCCGCTATTACAGTTACCTTCAAAATAGCGGTGTACCGGCAACGGTGTTTATTAGAAATGCAAAATCTCATGTATTATACCTATAGTTAACCGCGCACGCGGTATCGTAGTAAATTATACGGCAATATTGTATTTATCAAAATGTCGTATTATATGAATCCATTGCGGTAATTCTACGTAAGTCCATATAAATGTATAATATTATATTATATTATATACTCTATATAGTGTATAGAGTCTAAAGTTTTATTTACGTCGCATATAGATAATCTAAAACACTTCCCTCCGAACAGAGCTACAGACGTGTTCACCCCAGTTCAAAAACAAAAAAAAAAAATATATAATATAATATGTAAAAAACTATTGAACGCGGTCTTACAAATTTCATGCGATGAAAATAGTGTGTAAATTATGTTGGTACTCATATGGTCCCCAACATTTTTGTCACACACAATTCGGAATACCCTGTTTATACTTTATAATATGATAATATGTGAACAGACTATATAGAAAATCAAAATACGTTTTGAGCAAGTACCTATACGTACTATATGAGCACGCACGTGACACACAAGTACCTAAATTAGGTAACTTATTGCATAATAATTATAATATCTTTGACACGTGATTTCAGAAATTGTTCACTGAAGTGGATTGGACGAAAAACGTGAGAATCGTGAAATTGAATTTTTAAGTTATTGCAGGGATTACTTCTAAAACCTTCCACTGTAACAAAGTCTTAACATTTTTCATCCCCACATATCCTTATGACTATCGTTTCAATGTTTTTGACCCAAACGATTACCAAAATAATTAAAACAAAAAAAAAAAAAAAAAAAAATAGTAACATAATTAAACACTATAGTTTATATTATATTTTACTATTTATAATGTTGAATAATTAGGTATAAATAATAAAATTGATTCGAGTCTCCTTTGATTAAAAAAAAAAAAAATGGTTTTAAAAATATATTGTTGATATTAATTTTATTAATAATAAATCTCTTTTAATATCGATTAAAAAAAAAATTACTAAATCTATCCCGTATAACAGTGGATATATTATAAATTTTTATTACTCTTGTGCACAAAAAGAATCATTTAATGTTTCTAAAATAATTCATTTTTAGATATTTTTTCAAATTTGATATTTTTTCTTTGGAGGCCTTACGAGTATATTACGGTGATTATGACAAGGGGTGGGAACAATCCTTCCTTGCTATGTCTATAACAAGTGATAATATAATATAATATAATGAGTTTACTGTAAGTACACGCGTTATAATATAATATATTAAAATAACATAAAATTCGCGATTTTAAAGAATAAATGCGATCGATTGACTCTAGCACATGTATTTCATAATAATATACTCATATACATATATATACGTATACCTAAACATTAAATTATTATTATAAAACCATGCAGGTACATAAATTGTTCGCTAGCAGAGGAGAAAAAAAACGAAAAACATATTTTTGGCACCTATGCAAATATTGTCAACGAGTATCTATGTAGTATGACGTGAAAGGTGTAGGCAGGCACGGTTGCGGCGAATTCGTATCATATTATGTTTAAAGCTGATTATTGTGCGTGTGCTAGCTATATGAATTAGAGTACCTACCTACTTATAATACTAAATTATATGCTATATTTTGTCCGTTTAAAAATCGGAACTTTAAGTTTTGCATGTACCTATTAGTAAGATTCAATGATAACAAAATACGCAAGCTAAATTGCCTACATTCATACTCGTATAG